CATCCTGCATTCCTTAAGTGCCTGCAGGAGCGGCTGTGACTACCAGGGGCAAAATGAGTGTACATCCTGGCTCTCCCCACCTAGGCGTTCACACACGCACCAAGTATCTCTTGCTTATCGGCATTTTACAAAAGATAGCCCTTTCAGCAAATTAACTCCTTATAGGGAAAGACACCGGAAAGTTGCCTATGGGAAACTTACAATGTAAATCCATTAATCAAGCAAAGCCACTCACGTATCTCTACCTAATCATTCAATAGCACTTATTTCCTAGTCTCTCCCATGTTTATATTTAGATAGGAAAAAAATGCAGCAGTCAAAAAATTCTGAATGGATAAGGAAAAAAAAAGTCATTAGGAAGCCTGTCTGGAGATGAGTATAAACTTTATAACGAAGGAGGACCGTGTCTGGAAGCAGGAAAAGCAGAAATTGAATTCCCCACCACCAGGAGGTCCCTTCAATTCCCCTGTCCTCCAACCCTTTGTTAAGGCAGGCTACTGCCTCTCTAAAAATCCTGGGGAGCATTTTCTCATGTGAAGCCTCGCAAGAAGGTTTTGACAAAACAACTGGGTATTAACAAACTACTCAAGCTCAAAGCACCAACATAAAGGACTAGGTTTTGAGCCAGTTTAATCCTGTTACTGGTTTGCGGACAGGCCCAGTTCAGAAAAGGGCTACCAAACATACACCTGGCTGATCAAAAGTCCTCTATTTTCCCCAACCAGTGCAATGACACACCAGCAACTGCAACAGCGATCACGCAAAAATGTGATTACAAATTAATTGGAAGACCTTATCAGAACCTTCTTAATATAAAACAGCATCTCTTGATCTAAAAGAGCTTGACAGGCTCCTCTGACAATGCAGATATTAATCATGAAGGTAGTTGAGCACACCAGGGCTAAAATGTCATTTCAAAAACCATTGGAAAGAGAATAATTCTTTTCACATTTGTTTAACACTGCGAGCAAATCATTTTTCCGAGAGTGCTTCGTCAAATCCCAGAACAATCACTGAAGGCTACTGTAAAATTGTAAATACAAAGGTAAAGCTAGAAGCACAAGACAGACACACACACCTGTGAAGAAAACACCCTTCCCGTGGCCTCTTTACAAAACCATACCACTGCCTTTCCTTCCCAGGCTCTCAATATTTGTTTTTTTAAAATCAAACATGGAACAAGGTTTTAAAGTTGATGACAGTGGGTACGCCCTCTGCCTCTCCACAGGAGGGATGCAGCAAGACAACTGGTCCTGCAAGGTGATGTCCTGCCTGTCTCCCAGCGGTGAGGGCTGTGAAGTCCTGGGCAGGTGTCTGAGACTATCAGTTGGGATGCCAACATTAGTGGTAGGGCTTGGCTTTTGTGATGTGGTTATTTGCCAACAAAAACCCAGGCTGGGATCACCAATTCATTTACCAAAGACCATCCGTAATCAAAAGAAAGTAAGAGATTTTTATAACTACTAAGCTGAGCCATATATAAACTAGTGGCCTAAGAGCCAGAAGTGCTAATTTCTGAGCCAGCACACACAACTACATGCTGTTTTCCAGCATCTCCATCCTACCCTTTACACATCTTTTCAGAGGGAACATCCTTCCTCACCACACAGGCATAGGTATGGGATCATGCACAGCAGTATTCCCATCTGTCCTACACCCAGCACAAGCCTCCCATGGGAGAATATATTTTATTCTAGGATTTGATTAGTAAGCCAGTAACCAACTGTAAACGTGCTTTTTCTTGTCACTGTACTAGCTGTTATTAAAGAGTACTGGCCCTTTTCACATCGTTTGCTCTGCCATGGAGCATCCTCACAATTTAGGACCTTTCCCCATGGATAAATCCATGCAAGGTATTAGTGCCTGCACAGCACTGCAGGGCAATCTCACAGCTGCTCTTAGGCTGCATCATTGCTCCTTTAGTTAAGTAACAAGATCCCCTATGCTTAAAAGTGGATGTTAAGAGGCCCCTGAAAAATGAAGCCTATAACATATTAATCAGAGCAAATTTAACATCATAAATAAAAGCTGGTGGTAAAAAAAAAAAAATATTACTGCCTCTCTACTGCGGATTCAAAGTGAAGGGGGAAATACAGTCAGATTTGTATCAGTGCTTCCTCCCTATATAAATAGCTGCAATTGGCATGCTAAAAATAAACCACATAAATATTAAAGGCCCACTGCTCCGTAACTTACTGTTGTGCTTACTTACTGCTTAACGGTTGCGTAAATCAGGAGTAATATCAAAGAGATCAATGAACTTACACCAGAATACTTTGCAGAAGTCAGAGGGAGGGATTGTGCTTCCACGAGCCCTCCCATGAACACTTCTCCATCAGCTGACTGAGCTTTCCTTCCTCCTGACCTACAGGTCCCTTTGACAGCAACGGGAAAACCAGCATAGGGTTAAACGCCAAGAAAGCTGCGTAAATCAGAAGCCATCCGAGAAGGAAAAAGCTGCTTTACTCAGGTTTATCTAAAAACATTCAGATTTCACCCATCTCAGTCACGCCTGACCCCCCTGCCAGTGATACAATGGGAAACATCTCTCACGGCACATAGATTTTCTAAAGCATGGACAGCTAGAGTTAAGTGTCTTGCACTTAGATAAAATAGGCAGAGCGTTAACAAAAAAACAGCATAATAGAAAAAAATATGGTCCTTTTGCCTAATCCATAAGAACCTGCAAAAAAACAGCATAATAGAAAAAAATATGGTCCTTTTGCCTAATCCATAAGACAGGACACAAGTAACCCTTAAAAACAATCATTTATCTTTTTAATTTTTAAGCCTAGCCTGAACAAGGACTGCAAAAGATATCTACTAACTAGAGCAAAGAAATATTCCTCCTAGAGCAGCATCTAGCTCAGTATCTACACATGTCAAATAAAAAAGCAATTACCATAAAACTACTGTAAAAATAAGTAGCTATACTTTTCTTTCGTAGACCATTTTTCTCCCCCCCAAAATAACTCAGTATTTTGCCGGTGAAATACTTCAGACTAATGCACTCCTGAAAAAACAGCTGGAGATGAACAAAATAGTCTCAAATGGCTCTTCTGTCTAATTTTAACTCTAAGAGACCGTTTTACATCAAATAAAAAGACAACATAATGTACCTGATAATAAATCACACTATTTGCAAGGGCACTTACGGAACACGAATTATTTGTATTACTGAAATAAACATTTGATGGAATCCACCAAAACATGTGAAACTATTTAAAGGGAAATACAGTAGTTCTCCATCCTGAATAAACCAAAGCAAAAAAACCCAACGAACCAAACTGTGCTTTACCACGTCTAGTTATTGTGTTATTCTGATTACATGGGAAAACTAAAGACACAAAGGCTGCCTGTTTTGCTATTTTTTTTTTCTTGCTTTTCCAGGAAACCAAATATTAAGTACCTGGCTTACAAACCTCCTCCAGCACTTGATCCCACTTCCTTTGACGTTCACCTCCTACGAATGACACAATCCAACGCCCACGTGGCAGTTCTAAGAAAGCAAGAATGCTGTGGCTTCACCAAACCCCCATCCACTTGGGGCTGGCCAAAGAAAGATAAAACACCCTGACACTCTGCAAACAAATTATACCCATTGCTAACGTAAGGAGGGGGAAGGGAGAGCAAAAGGTGGTGGTGGTGGGAATTAAATCAATCACAGGAAGCATCCTTAGTCATTCAAAGCACATGTTGACACTTTAATGGCACACCTGGAAATTAAAAGCCTATACTAGTTAGGAAGAAAACAGTAGGCTGCAACTGGGTAACGAGCATCACTTTGCCAGCTGGGAAGTGGGACCTCGAGCACCTTGTCCATGGCTTCGGTTTGCAGATGCTGCAGGGGAGAGGGGCTGCGTCCAACAAGGTTGGAGGTTGGCAAGGTTGACAAGACTTTGAGGAGCACAGGACCCCCCCATCTGTGCCTTACAAACCTATTTCTATGGCTGCGCAGGTCAAATAAAGCATCAGCACTGAGTAGGTGGGGTCTTTGTGGAAGAAAAAGGATTCAACAGCACAAAGAGGATTTGGTACTACATTTATCATTGAAGTCAGCTTTTAAGCAGCTAGACACAGTCATTGCAGATGGTATTAAGAAGTGTTTCAAGGGCCACAATGTATTGGGCGGCAAAAGCCAGAGCTCCAAAAACCTGAGAGGAAAGTTCACGGCAGGGACATTGCTTGGACTGCTCACCTGCTGCCTTCTCAATTACCAACGTAGCATTTTGTCAAAAGCACAGAGCTTGAGAGCCCTGCATGCTGCATCTCAGGAGCGTGACCACCACTGTGACAATACCTGCCTGCCACAGCCAGGTATTCCCCTGAGCTCTTCCAGCCAAAGCTGGTCTCATTCAGCTCTCCACAGCTTATAAGACCCAAGAAGAGCAGAGCTTCCATGAGCAGAGCTGCACCCATAAGTGTCCTCCCCCTCCTTGGATCACCTTTGTTAGCAAACAGTTAAAAATACTACCTTTAGCTCAGAACCCAAGCTTTGGCCTAAGCAACACCACCATTTAGGAAGTCAAACAAACAAACAGGAAGCAAGGAAAATGTTGTATAATTACTCAGAGCTGCCCTGGAAGGAGGGCTGTACCAAAAGCACTGAGTTTCTTTTATTCGGGATTTCTTACTGCAGTAGAATGCTGCCTAAGAGCTGCCGTATCCTGCTTGAGTGAGTACATTCTCCTTGGAAATCAAGCAAAGGTTTCTAATCGTTTTTGACAGGGTGCAGTCCCCCAAAGCTACATTTTCCATCTGATTCATGCTGTCTGACTGTAACCCTACGACAGTTATTGAAAGTTAATTAGCGGTGAAGTGCAAAGAGCTCTAGGAATGAAAATACAAGCGAGAACTGCACGTGGATTTCCCAGAAAAATACTGTCAAGAAGGTTGGCATAACCCAAAAAATACTGCAAATTGAAAATGTGAAAGGGATTCCTCTAATAACTTGGCTATGATTGTCCCTTGCTGTTTAGAAACGCAACCAAGACGTGACATATTTTTAGGAGTTTATTAGGGAAGCAGGTAAGTACAAAACCCAGCATTTCTTTCTTCACCACATTTGCTAGAGAGAGCGCTTGAAAAATTACATAAAGACAACACCCAGATTACATAGAGACAAATAAAGATATAAATCAATCGCTGCTTCCTTTGGAGACTGAGGTTTGTCAGATGTTGCGCACGCTATCAAATCCCAACTATTTTCGCCCTTATTCTCCACTTCCTCAGTACTTGCAAGGAATAATCCACAGCTCCATGCCTGCTCAGCCAGCTCGCAGCGGGCGTAGGAGGCGAGGCGAGCAGAGCCGCAGCCCCGCACCACCCACTCCCCGCAGATGTAAGCGCCGAGACAAGGTGCGAGGCAGTGGGCAGACCCCTTCAGGTGTTAAAAAAGCCCATCCCGGCACCCCCGGGAGTTGGATCCAGCCCTAAAACCATCAAAAATTCAACCCGAAAGCAACCCTCCTGCAGAGAAACGACATAGTTTTTAAGAACAAGGAAGGGAACGCATTGTAGCAAATCAAGTAGGTTGGAAAGGCCAAATGTAGGGCTCCGTATAAAAATAGAGGTTGGTGATGCCAGAATGCTTGGGCAAAATTGTGCCTATTGATTTTCGTAGAATAGGAAAAAAGCTCCAGCCCTTTCCAGCCCTGAGTGTTGACTGTGAGTCACAAGTGATCTAAAATGACTGCAGTGAGCAAGCGGGGACCAGGCTCAGTTGGACCCAGCTCGTGTCTCCGCAGCGCTGACGGGGGGAACGGCAGCATCCCGACCTGGGCTCTTCTTCCAGTGCCTAGAAAACAGAGAGAACCTGCAGAAGTTCTGCTCCATCAAAGCACCTCCTAACATCCCGTGGGGGCATTCCCCTGGGTGGGCAGATGGCTGCTGTTGGGTGGGTGACTCCGGGCCACCACGGTGACATGGCCTGACCTCTCCTCTGTGCTGGGCAGGGAAGGGGGCATGGGGAATGGGGTGCATTGGGAGGGCAAATACTAACTCTGCTCTGTTCTGCCGGGGTGGCTGCCTTGCCGAGGTGTGGGAAGCCTCACAAGCTGCTCACGCTTGATTTTGGACCAATTTACATCTTGGCCGGTAAGGGCAGTCAACGTTTCTCAGCCAGCCAGGCAGAGGCGGGACAGCAACCCCAGGAGACGCTTCTGCTGAGCTGTTAAATCCACGGGATTTTCCTTTTTTTTCTTTCCAAGCGCAGACCCCGAACTCCCCCGGAGCCCTAAAACACGAGGAGGAGAAGCCAAAGGTGGGGTGGGTCCAGGAGCCGCGCCTGCCCCTGCACAGCTCGCTCCCCCCGCGAGCATTCCGCATCAACCGGGGTGAACCCCCTGCCCACGGCCGTTCACCGCCGCGGCCCTGCCGGAGGAGGAGGAGGAGGAGGAGGGATGCTCGGGCGGAGAAGGGTGCCCGCTGTCGCTGATAGAAAAGAGGTGACTTGAAAATGTCAGCCCCCACCCGGTCTGGGGCTTTCGGGAGCGCTTCCCACCGAGTCAC